TGCTCTTCAAGGGAACCAGCAGTGGGAAGAGCTCCTGCAGTGAACATCCACCCAGAGTCACCCCTGTTGGGCACGAAGACATCCAGCACAACCCTCTGCTTCACAGACATCTCCTCCCCATCCCTTCAGGCATCACAGTCATCCTCTTTGTGGAATGACTGAACCCTGTAGGGTGAGAGCAGAATATCACATTATGAACTTGTTTCTGCCTGCATGAGGTTTAGACTTCTTACATGCTCCACTGGAAAAGTATCTGGGGGTTGTGCGAGACATGGGATGCTGAGGGGAAGGAGCACAGACAAGCAGAGGGAAGGATCAAGGCAGCTTGTTTGGGAGCGAGTATGGGAAGACAGATGGCAGGGATGAGAGCAGCTGATTGCGTGTGAACACGTGTCTGATCCGTGTGCTGGCCTGGCCACGCCTGTGGCTCTGCCTTGTTTGTGCACCTGCCAGCAGTTCCCTGCAAACCCAGTGATGAAGTCCAGCTGGGGCAGGGAGCGCGGCTGAGCCTTCCCTCTGTGCCTCGGAAGCCCCTGACCATGGGCTTGGAACTGCTCTGGCAGCTCCTCGAGCCACACAGGGCTCCCTGGGGAGCGGCCGGAGCCCACAGTCCCTTCCCAGAGGCCTCCTTCCAGCTCCTTGGGCAACGCAGCAAATCTGTTGCCGACTCACTAATGAGGGAGGAACCTGGCATCCCTTGAGGCTGTGGTCAGGGTGCTCTATCGGGCTTATAGGGAAAGGTTTTGGTAGAAGAGGGGCTGCAGGTGTGGCTGCTGTGAGAAAATGCCAGAAGCTGTGCCAATGTCGGGTAGAGGTGGGACCTGCCGGCTCCCAAATGTTCCACGAGGACTGTCTCCCATGGGAGGGACCCCAGGGCGCAGCAGGGGAAGGGCGTGAGGAGGAAGGAGCCGCAGAGACAACGGGGGAGGAACGGGAGCCAACCCCGCTTTGCCATCCCCCTGGGCCACTCGTTGGGAGGAGGCAGAGAATTGGGGAGCGGAGCTGGGCCTGAGAAGAAGGGCAGGGGGGGGAAGGGCTCGCAAGGTTTGGGGTTCAGCTCCCCTTCTCCCGCTCGGATTTGATGGGCCCGAATTGCCGGGGCCCGGGGCCGGGCGGGGCCGGCGGGGCCGGGCGGGGGGGGGGCCGGGCGGGGCCGGGCGGGGCCGGGGGGGCGGGCGGGGGCGCGGCCCGGCGGGTGGAGCGGCAGCCCCCCTGGCGGCCCCGCCGGGGCTGTCCCCGCCCCCGGCCCCGCCCCCGCCCCCCCCCGCCCGGCCGCCCGCGGCGGTTCGTGCCCGGCCGCAGCCCCGGCTCCTCTCCCCGTGTCTCCTCGGGCGCAGTAATACACCGCCGCGTCCCTGCGCCGGGGCCGGGCGAGCCACAGGGCGCTGGACCGGCGGTCTGCCGCCACCGACAGCCGCCCCGGCGGCTCCCGCACATCCTTGCTGCCTTTAAGGCCGAACACGAGGAGTGCTGGGCCCCGGCCCGGGAGCTGACGGTACCATTGGATGAACTCGGCAGTCTGCATGTTGGGGTGCGAGCAGTTGATGCTGATGCCGGTGCCCTCGGTGGTCTCTGCCGACGGCTCCTGCTGCACCGGGCTCTGCCACAGCCACTGCCGAGAAAACAGAAGGAAAGTGTAAAGGTCTCCAAAGATCACCCAGCTCTGATGGCTCCTTCACCCTCTCCTTAGAGGGAGAACTCGTTGGTAAGAGTGTCTGTGAGACAGAGCTGGACCAGAACATACGGGGACAATGTGCTCATCGGCAGGGATGGAGGGCAACCCCGGTATGGGCGTGTGGAGGGTGGGCAGGGAAACTGAGGCAGATGCATGGAGAGATGGAATGAAGGCAAGGTGCATGGATGGATGGATGGTGAGAGGCAGAGGAGACAAGAAAGTTCAGGTGTTACAGTGAAAGGTGAAGGGTTGAATTCAGAAGAATGAATGCTGAAGAGCAGGGTGATGAGCCCATGTATACTCTGATGCAGGAAAGGAAACTTGTGCCTACAGCAATGAAGGAAGCAGAGGGAGAGATGAGAGAGAGTCTCGGAGTAGAGGAAGGGGTGAGGGATGCTAGAGGCACGGAGAGATGCGTCAAAAAATGAGTGTGTAGATGGCTGAAGATGACCCAGGGGGAGAGAGAGGCTAATACAGCGAAGGAGAATCGGTTGTATTCAGAAGACGAATGCAGAATGCACGAGAGAAGGAGCGGGTGCCTGGAAAAGCGTGCTTGTAACAGCAGAGATGGGGGTAAAAGAGGGAGGCTGAGAAGAGGGGATTGGGGGGGTTGGAGAGGGGGCCGAGGGATGGCAGAGGGGGAAATAGGCGATGAATAAGGAGAGGGAAGAGTTACCGCTGGGCTCTCTGGGAGCAGCCCGGCCCCAGCCCCAGCCCCCCCGGCGCCCCCATCCCCGCGCACCCAGGAGCACCGCGGCCAGCCCCGCCAGCCCTGCGCCCCGGCCCCGCCGCATCCCGCCGCTCCGCCGCCCGCGCCTCGCTGCCCCCCGCCAGCCCCGGCTCTCTGCTCCGCCCGCCGCGCCTCCTCTCCGCCGCCTCCGCTCCTCTCCGCCGCCGCCAGCTCCGCCCCGGGGCTGAGCCCTGCGCCGGCGCCGCTCGGGGGCTCGCCCGGGCTCCGAGTGCTCAGCGGCTCTGCACGGCCACCACTTGGTCTCCTGGCAATGCCACTCTCTCCCTCCTCCAGCAAGGGCTCCCAGCAAGAACCAGCCTGCACAGCGCCAGCTGCAGCCTGGGCCAGCAGCAGGGCCTGGGCCCAGGAGATGGAGCAGCTTCCCAGAGCTCTCCCGAGCTCAGGGGCTGCAAAGAGCAGCCACTGCTTTCCTGCCGCTGGCAGGGAGGAGGCGGAGAGCCTCCCTTCAGCTGCCTCTCTGCACTCCCAGCACAATGCCTACGGGCTCTGCAGGCAAAGCGGGGCTCCGGACAAGTGTGCCCGTGGGCGTGCGCGGGGGGCAGGGGCCCAAGAGGAACGGCAGCGTCCCAGTGTCGCGAGAAGGGACCTCCAGAGCTCCTCGACAGCAGCCCCCGCTCTCAGCAGTTCCCACTCCATCGGGCCGCTCCCGGGGGGCGATTGCCGAAACTCCCACGGAAATCCATCCCAGGGTCTGCTGGCTGGGCTTTGCCCCACCCCTCACAACTCCTGGAGCCCGGTAGCCCAGCCCCTTTTCCACCCACCTTATCCTCCTCTTTCTGAAGCCCTTCGCCTCCAGTTCGGTCACCAAGGCAGTACAAGAGAGGCTGGAAAGATCTGGCTAAACTCCAGCTACGCGCCTGCCCTGCCCTTTCTTTGGCCGCAGTGCCCGCTCCCTCCTGAGAAATCAGCAAGTTTCCCTCGGAGACACCTCCGAGAGCGTCATCTGAGAAGCAGCTCCACGGAGAGGGGAGTCAGCCCTGGCTGAGCTCTCCCAGCAGAGCTCCCTGGCACTGAGCTCCCCAAAGGTCGCTCAAGCGAAGGAGGGAAGCCTTGGCTGCCCTGTGTCCAAGTGGGACCTGAGCCCAGGTGGAGAAGCGGTCAGGAGGGGAGATGGGCTCAGGAGCTTTACACACCCTGGACAGCCCCGGGTGGAGGCAGAGTCTCTTCTGGACACCCCTGTGGGACAGCAGCAGGCTTTGGGGGATGCGGGCTTGAACGCAGCATCCCTTCCCCCCGGGGCCAGCTGCTGGGCACTCAGACTGACATTCCCGGCTGGGGCATGAAGGGCCTCGTGCGCTGAAGCCCAAGGCAGTCATCAGCTCTTGGCTTTCCTTGTGAAAGCCCCAGGGTCTGTCATGCTACTCAAAGCAAAGCAGTCTCAAGCTTCACGTTCCTGCCATTCAGTCCCAGCTTAACCCGAGGTCTCAGCCCCTGCCTCACACAGCACCAGGCCAATGATCTGCAGAAATACATCTGGCGTAGGACTGGAGACGAGAGGGGGCTTTGTCCCAGCCCAGACACCACTGACATAAGAGTGGAAGCAGAACCCCTCAAGGATGGCCAGCACATGCTCAGCAGGATTCCTCAGCCCTTCTCCTTGCCCATAAAGCAATCCCCATCCTTCTGAAATCTCTCGAGCTGGGCAGAGCAGCCGAGTCCTGGCCTGGAGAGGCAGGGAGGGGGGCACTGCCAGCCATGCTGAGGCACTCCCAGCATTGTGACACTGACTTAAATTCCGTTCCAAATTGGTGTGAATGCATCCTTGTTGTGGCCTGAAGCTGGCAGCAGCAGAGCGTGAGCTTTGGAGGGGCAGGAAAAGGAGGGCTGAGGAGACAGGGGCTGCGTGTCAGTGCCTCTTCCCTGGACACATCTCTAGCAGGCTGGTGCCATCACCGTTGAGCTGCACTCAGGCTCCTTCTGAGCCTGGGAACCCGCTGCTCTGCGGTGCTCGTGGGCAGAGCAGAGGAGAGTGGCCCTGCCACAAGCAGCACATTCCCTCGTGATGAAGGACACACAAGCAGGGTCATGCTCACTGGCGTGGAAGTATTCACAAAGTTGTGGTCCCACAAGCATCCACAGAAACAAAACTGCTCAAAAGTACCCAGAAGAAAAGAACACACATAGGAACACAACGGACCATGGACTCTGCTGAGGACCCCTGGGGACTGGGCAGCGTTAGGCAGGCTGGGGCCAAAACCCTGCAGCACCACACAGAGACCTGTGAGGCAACAACAAGTGACCATTGGGGTGAGCTGAGGAAGGACTCTGGGACAGACCAGGACGTGGCACGACCTCATGCACGGGAGCCCACGGTATCCAGCCGAGGGTGGCTGGGCCTTCTTCCAAAGAGCAGCACTTCAAACAGACCCGCTGGAGTCATCCCGACTGACATCTCCTGCCTGCTCTGGAAATAGCCAGCACTTGAGCTGAGTGTTCACCCGCACTGCTGCATTCCTACCCAGGAAATCCTGGGGCCTTTCATCCCAGTGCTCAGAACAAGCCTTCGCTGGGAAATGGGCTTGCCACAAACCTGGAAATGAAAAGGCAGCAGTGCAGGAAATGAAAGCACAGCCCATATTATTAGCTGTGATGGTTTGCATTCAAGACGAGCTTGTCAGAAAATTGTTCCCTCTGCAAAGGGTGCCTCTGGGCCTGCGGCAAGGAAGGGCAGGTATAAAAGGCAGCCCCAGTCCCTGCTCTCTCATCCACTTCTCTTGCCTCCTTCTCCTTGGCAACCAGGTGAGTTCCTTCTCCTCCTCTTCCAAAGCAAGACCTCCGCTTGATAGTCACCCCAGCTGATATTGCTCTGTGCTTTCGTGGGGTTTGGATCTTCTTGTTGTGACAGAGGCAAGTGGGGAGACAGTGTGCTTAGAGAGTGGGCTGAGGGGTCTCTTGGTTTACGAGTGAGGAGAGAGCGTCCCTGTGCCAGGCTGCTCTTCATAGAGCGATAAAGACGCCCTGTGCTTCCTTCCTGCTTCTCCCCCAGGTGCACCTCCACCCTCGAGACATGTCCTGCTCCGACCAGTGCCTGCCATGCCGGCCCTGCGGCCCGACCCCGCTGGCCAACAGCTGCAATGAGCCCTGTGTCAGGCAGTGCCAGAGCTCCACTGTCGCCATCCAGCCCTCCCCCGTGGTGGTGACCCTGCCCGGCCCCATCCTCAGCTCCTTCCCACAGAACACCGTTGTGGGCTCCTCCACCTCCGCCGCCGTTGGCAGCATCCTCAGCTGTGACGGAGTCCCCATCAACTCGGGGGGCTTTGACCTCTCCTGCATCACCAGCCGCTACTGCGGCAGAAGGTGCCCACCCTGCTAAAGACACTGGTGACAGCTCAGACAAGGAGCCTCAGCAACCCAGAAGATGATGCCACACTGAATGACAGAGATCATCGCCATTGCTTTGAGAAGGGCTGGGGCATGCCCCGCTTCTCCTGCAATGGGTGTCGGGTCTTTGGAAGCAGCCAGCCGGGGCTCTCTGAAAACATGGCCAACGCCTCTTGCTCCCTTTCTCTGTTGCCTCCTTTCCCTCTTTTTCCTTTGTTGTTTTCTGTTCCCGTGGGCAATGAGGACCACCAAACCCAGCCTAGGGGGGACCTGCCTGCCCCTCTCCCTCTGTGGGGCAGACAGAGGAGTGCCCTGTGGAAACTGCCTCTTGATCATGGGGCACTGACTCTTGGATGCCCATGGTGACCTATTTGCTGTGGCCTCCCCTCAGAGACATCTAGTTTCCCTCTCTGGTCTCATTAAACTCTGCTGCATCCCAGCCTCTGTCTCTGTGTGGTCTTTCCTCTCTGGATGCTCTTCAAAGCTGCCTAAGGAGAAAGGAGATAGGCTGGGAGGGAACAAATGCGTGAGCAAGTGGATCCTTTCGCATTCTTACAGGACCCGGAGGGCAGGACACACTGTCTATTGGACTCCTTCAGTCACTGTCCCTTGCAGCTGAGGACAAGATCTCGGGCTCCTCCACAGCCAGTGACCATCAGCCCTTCCCTTGCTGCATCTCTGCCCAGAAATATTCCCCTTCTCCTCTGAGCATGCCCTGCGCATCGTGGTTCCAATTTGTGCTGTCTTTGTGGGTGGACCAAAGTGCTGCAGGAGGCCCTGGGAGATCAGCAGCCCCACAAGCACTCAAGGCAGTTCCCCTTGCTCTGGATGGAGCTGTGCTGTGGGAGAAGGCTGAGAGAGAAGATGGCCACAAGGACGGAGGATGGCACGGCTAGAGCCAAGAACCACCTCCTCCTCACCATCCCACCCATCTCCAGAAAGAAAGAGTATGGCATTGATCCAAGAGCAAGGATTGCTAGGGCTAGTCCTCTGTTCTTCTGTCACACCCATACAGTGCCCCATGCAGCCCCAGCCGTTCATTACACAGTTTGACAGGGCCGAGGTATCTTGCAGATTGCACACCCCCAACTCTCATCAGAGAGTCACCTCCAGGACAACAAAGGTTATTCACATGGGCCTGCAAGATGACACAGATGAGCGTCTGAGAGTTCCTCCCGTGGTCATGTGGAGAGAGAGCGCATATCACAACAGCCCTTGCTCTCTTTGCAGCTCCTGGAAGAGAAGTCTCATCCTGGAGTGCAGGGGAAGAATAGTGCCATGGCAGAAGCTCTCTCATCTCCTTCTCCTTTTCTATGAGGCTTCTAACCCCAGCCCCTCACAGGAAGAGGATCTTGGTCTGCACGTGTCCTCTGGCCTCCCTCCTCTCCTGAAGCCAATGGATCATGGGGAACAGCCTTGGTACCTGAACCTCAGAAACTCAGGGCTACAAAGACAGCCAAGATCTTCTGCCCTGACTTATCAGTGAAACCTTGAGAGTGAATGGGCTGGAAAAGAGAGGCAAAGAATGCTGGATGGTTGAGGAAAAAAAAAAACATGTTAAGGGAGTCTGAGATGACCAAGGGAACAGGTGTTTCTTCTCTGTCATCAGTTCTGATGCAGGACCTTTGCTAGCAGGCTCAGAAAGAGCTGAAGAAAAGATGCCATCAGCACAGCAACTTCTATTCACAGCTTTCCTCCCACATGGCGTTCAGGGTCTACTTTACGTTGGAGGCTAGGTAAAGAACGTTGGTGGGCTGTGCTCTGCCCATGGCTTGAAACCTGCTACTAGCTTTAGGCAGGCTTTAAAGCTAGCCATGGTTTTAAACCTTCTTCCCAGCTGTTGCAGATAAGTGTTTTAAACCGCTTCAAGCATCATCATCAAAGGTATTAGCAACAGTGATTTTAACCTGAATCTGTAGAAGTGCAACTTAACAGAGTTCGATGGCAAGATTCACTCTATTACTTACTGCATGGAACAAAGATACAAAGGCAAATCGAGTTAGAATCAGTTTAGAATGGTTCACAGAGAGACCGGAGATGCCAAAGAGTAAGGGAGACCCTCCCATTAAGTCTGGAGTTTCAGAATGGTCTCCCTTGTTTTTTTAACTCCTTCTCAGAGAGGAGTCTTGGTGGGGCTGGATGCAGAGATAGTCGCAGACTTGGTCAACATTTTATGGCTAATGGAACTAGCTACCTGGATTTCAACAGACATTCATCTGACATGCTATCAGTCACTTTCCGAGGATCTGTTGCAAGTAAGGGGTCTCCCTGCCCTGGGGAAGGAAAGATCCCTCAGCCTCAGGTAAGAAATCTCAAACCTTGGTGTTAAAGAAAGCACCTGCCATCCAGGCGTCCGGTGTTATTTCGCTCCATAGTTCAATCCCTAGGCTTTCCAAAGCAAAGTCTCAGGCATCGAATCCTATAAAATTAAATAATTTAGTAGAGTGGTACAGGAGCGGAATTAGCTTGAACTGGGTGCCTCCAGAGCGGGACCCTGAACAAAAAATCCCTGGGCACTTATACCCTTACAGACTACTTGCCCTCCCTTTGGTCCCATAGTGATTCTGGTCTGAGATCTTGTGACTCCTTATTGGACTCCTTGACTGTCTCCAGACAGGCCGCTTCCTTGTCTAACTGCAGCTGTTGTTGACGGTTGTAGCCTCCTTTCCTTCTGGTTTGCGCTGGCTCTGAAGGCCTTGTTTTGCTTCGCTAGGTGCACATTCAGTAAATCTAGGTGAAAGTTTACAGCTTGTGGCCCGAGGCTTTGGCAAATCTAGCTACTCATGCAAAGTGACTAAAGCTAAGCAAACAGCAGACTAAATCAAACAACTTCATAACTGATTCATTCTATTTAAATCTTAGCTATTTAAGCTAATTGACTAGTATCTCTTCACAGTGAGAGGCACCCCTGCTTAGGGGGAGAGTTGCCTGGCGTGCAGTCCAGTTGCCATACAGGGAGAGATCACATCGGGCTCATGCAATGATCTGTTGTTGGAGGAAGATCTCATTGCTTCGAGGAGCAAACGTGAGAGGCATCCTAGCTCGAGGGGGGATGCCCGCCATGCAGCCATGCTGCCTAGCAGGGAGAGCTCAATGAAGGCTCCCTTAGGCTGTCACATTTCTGGGATAAAGTGGTTGGCTCCTAGTCAAATTGCATACAGTGGGAAAGGTATGCAGGAGACTCCTTGTACCCACAACTTTCTTTGTTCCTTGATAAATGAATCTTGGAAAATCCACCCGCTATTCAGGGTGTGCCAGGCTCATATGCACTGGTACTCACTGTCCTCTGCTCCTTTGTGGGTTTCCTAGAGGAGTTCTTGGCCTGGCCACAGCTCAGGCCTTGACCTCCTTTGGAGCCTGTACCAACCTCCTGCTAGTTTGGTGATGGGGCATCGAGTGCATCCACCACACCACGTACACAAGCACAAAAGCCATTTGACATCATCTCCCACCATCCTCGGAGGGGAAAAGTAGTGGGAGAAAGAGACTACTTCTGATGGCTCAGATAGAAAGCAGGAAAAAGAGTGTACATGACAAACACTCATGGCGCTCCTGATTACCATAATTTTGTAAAAGCAAAGAGACTTTGCCTGACTTCCAGACACCCAGCCAGCTGCTTGCTCACTCCCTCTTCCTCCTCAACAGGATGGGATGAGAAAGTAAGGTGAAAAAGGTTACGGGTCAACGTAAAGACAGGGGGATTACTTAACAGTTACCAACACAGGCAAAACAGGCTAGACTTGGAGAATATTCCTTTAGCTTATTACCAATGAAAAATAGAGCAGCATTCTGGGAAACAGGAAAAAAGGAAAAACACCTTCACTCCATCCCCACCGTTTTTTCACAGGCTCAACTTCCCTGGTCAATCCCTTTTCTTCTATTTCCTCCATCCTTAAGCAGCACAGTAGGATGTGGAATGAAGGGTTGCAGTCAGTCCACATGTTTCTTTCTGTGCAAAGATGGACTTTGCCGGACCTGCCTCTGAACAGGCAGCAAGGTGTGTGTGGTTTCCACAAAATCACAGGTCCATGACTTTCCAGACACAGTTACAAGGCCATCAGACTCTGTGTTTTTATGGGGGCTACAGAAGTCCTCATGCATGAACAGCAAAGAAAATTCACACAGTGCTGTTTGACACCCCCTGTGGCACACAGGTCTAAAGACATGCAGAAGTGCATCTGGAATTGTCAGGTACATGAGAATCCTGTGCCCCGTCCCAGTTACCAGCAACACTACAACATAAGGGCATTGATACAGGGACAATAGCCTGCGTAAGCGGGCAGGCTTTCTTGGCCTTCCTCCATCTATGTAGAGCAAGAACTGGTGGGCACAGGAGGCAGAGACTGCACTTCAGTTCTCTGGGCACCTCTGCCAGATCGAAGGCACTGCTATCCAGTTGCAGATGGACTCCCCCTGGCATGGGCAACCTGCTACTCTGCGGTGCTCACTGACACAACAAGGGAGAGTGCCCAGGCTATGACCTGCACATGCCCTCATGATGAGGGTCACACAAGTACAGAGGGACAGATGTGTGCTCACACATGCCTGCATGGAGCCATGCAAAACTTTGGATGCTCACATAAAGCCAGGAAACCATTGGCAGCTGCGGACCCTTTTGGGGATATGCTGGGGACCACACTGGCAGAACATGACTCAATTACCCCAGGAAGAGAGCTGGCCCCACTCATGCTCCTGGTGGACACGAGTGCAGAAAATTTATCCTCAGAGTACTGTTAGTGTTGCAATAGTGTCAAAGCCTTCCAGCAGAAGCCCATGTGCGTGCAACAGTGATGGACCTTCAGAGAGGGATGGGAGCAGGAGGACAAAAATCATGTGGCATGTCCTTTCTCATGCGAGTCCTTGGGCACACTCAGACAAGGAGCAAAAAGAGAGGTACCGATTTCCTGACAACTTTGCCACAAAGAAGAGCACACGAATGACACAGGTGCATATCACCTGACTTCACAGCATGCTAC